CTTGCCGTCTAACTCCATCCAGACTTGGCAACAGATGGAACAAGTCTTCCATGCTCAGTTTTACAGATCTGAGCCCGAGGTGTCCATGGCTGACTTGGCACGCATACGCCAACAGCCAGGGGAATCGGTTGAGCATTTCTTGACTAACTTCAAGAATGCCCGTAACCGTTGCTTTGTTAATTTGACGGAGAGGGAGTTTGTCAAGCTGGCACAAGGGGGTTTGAGTTTTGAACTACGGAAGAAATTCCAAGATAGGGAGTTCTCTGATTTATTTCAACTCATGTCTTGTGCCGTGAGGTATGAGTCTCTTCTACATGAGGAAGAGAATCGTAGGAGTGCATCAAGGGGATCATACTTCCCAAACTTAGACTATACCATCAATCATATTGGCCACGAGGCCAATGAGGTTGAGGTAGACTTGGCCGAGATAACTCCAGGGAAGCCATACATATGTGCTTCCTTGTCTAAAGTTGAAGAGGGACCACAAGGGGGGAGACCCAATCGTGCTCCCATTCAGCCAAGGAAGTACTCCTTTGACGTCTCCAAGGCAGACTTGATTTTTGACCAACTCTATAAGGATGGTCAAGTCAAGTTGACAGGGGGGCATGTCTTTCCCTCACCCTAGAAATTAAAAGGGAAGAAGTATTGTAAGTGGCATAATAGCATGTCACATGCCACTGATTCTTGTGTGGTGTTCCGTAATGTCTTGCAGGATGCCATTGAAAAGGGACGTATCAAGTTCCCTGAAGCAAAGAAGGATGCCATGTTGGTGGACACTGATCCGTTCCCCAAGGTGCTTGGCATCAACATGGTCAACCCAGACTTCTCCAAAGTCGAGTTACCACGCTTCAAGCTGGTGTTGGATACAACACCGCCTCGAAGGAGACCCAACGTGGTTTTCGACCAAGGAAGCTCGTCATGTACCAAGCAGGCCATCCTGGCCGCAATGATGACTGATGAAGTTGAGAAGTTGTGTGCTCATTGCAAGAAGAGTTTTAAGGTTCACGAAGAGAAGTCGAGATGTCCATCTGGGGGGCAGGTGGTTTCCAAGAAGCCACATCAACCCAAAGCCTCACATGTTAGTGATAAATATGATAATATGGCTAAGTCTGGACAAGAAAGCATGCCACCAATCACAAACAGTGGACATGGGGGCAAGTCCAACAAGGAAAGACGTGGAAAAGGCAGAAAGAGTTGTCACAGTCACGCAAATTTGGCTAAGTCTGGACAAGGAAGCTACACGAGTGGTTGTCAACTTGTCAAGCCTAGACCTGGTCCCCAACATCGTGAGGAGATTAAGCATTTATCAAGTGGGAGGAAATCAAGGCAAAAGAATAATCATGATAGCCTTGACATGTCAAGTAAGGTGGCCCAAGCAAAGAAGCATGAGGCCCCATGCAAGGCCACCAAAACTAGACAGGCTCACTATGTACCACCCATTAGTAAGCTAGAAAATTCAAAGTTAATGTATGAAGATTCATCTCCCTAGTGGAAAAGAGTCATGTGGTCTATGGATGGCATGTCTGGTTTGATCCATGGATTTGGCAATGGGTGTACACCTTTGGTACATTGATTGTTGCCAAAGGCTATGGAGAGCAGTGACATTTGTCACTTCTTGCCATATAAAATAAATAAATTTATTTAATGTACTTATTATATATTAGTTATAAATAAAAATATTGTAGCCAACCATGGCTAAAAGAAAAGATAGAAGGAAAATATCAAAGTGAAAATCTTGAGTCGGAGTTGATAGACTTCGACATGAAGATCTTGCCACCAAGTCATTGTGATGGCTTGACATGACGAGCCATACATCAGGCCATGCCATGCCATGTTATCTTGTCGAGTAGCCACGACCTAGGGGGGCATGATGGCTTGAAAGTGGTAGTAGAGGAGTGGTGACCATAATGTCTCTACCAAAATAAAAATGAACATTATTTTTCTAAGACAGAAAAGTAGACGGCTTGACTTGTCGCGAGGGAGCTGTCTAGCCTTGTGACGAGGTGGGATGAGCCAATCTATGCCAAAATAGGTGCGAACAATTATAACTTATTCTCTCAACCATGTGGCAAAGTACGAGATGTCAATGAGGGTGTAGGTGATAAAGTGAAGTTGGTGTCTCGTTGAATGCATTAGGTGGCTTGACCATTAAAAGCCAAAATTTGGCTAAGGCATGGGACAAGTCGTTGACGTCGAGTTTCATCCGGCCATGTTGGCATGATCATTGAAAGCCAAAATTTGGTTAAGTCATGGAACAAGTTTTGACGTCAAGTTCCATCCGACCATGTCGGCTTGATAATTAAAAACCAAAAATTTGGCTAAGGCATGAGACAAGTTTTGACGTCGAGTTCCATCCTACCGTGTTGGCTTGACGTGAAAGCCAAATTTTGGCTAAGGACGAAATAGGTGTGTTGAGTAGACACTAGCCAGCTTGTTACTTTCGCTAGCATGGTGGTGTTCAACTACTTAGTCCATAATTCTTATGCACTAAGTAGTTGGGGGGGCATTTGTTTACACTACAAAAATAATCTTGTACCACATTGATTATTTACAAGACATTAACTGTCTTTATAAGGCCAGATCAACAATAACAATTAATGTTATTTAAACTGGGCCTACGATACTAGATTTTTAAACCCAAATGATTAGGCCTGACATGACGCGTGAGAATAAACTAAGTCTGGTGCCTCATCGCGACAAGCCTCCTCGCGTCAAGTTGGTAGACCGCCTTGTCGTGACAAACCGCCTTGTCTAAACCACATCGCGAGTCTACAAGATATGTGGGGAGAAGGTCACAAAATAAACTAAGTTCAAGCGCCAAGCCTCCTCGCGTCAGGCCACCTCGTCGCAAGTCCGCCAAGCCTCTACTAAGTCTAAGCGCCAAGCCTCCTCGCGTAGAGTTTGGTAGACCGGCTCGTCGCGACAAGCCTCCTCGCGTAGAGTTTGGTAGACCGGCTCGTCGCGACAAGCCTTCTCGCGCCAAGTTTGGTATACCACCTCGTAGCATTGTCATCATGTTTGACAAACCGCCTCGTCGCGAGATCTGGAATAGCCATGGTAAAGGAAAGGGCAAGTAACAAGACGTCAGTTCCAAAAGGGAGAGCCGACGGTTTGATTGAGAAACTGTCAATTACTCCACGTTCAAGGACACGTCAGCCACGTCCGGGAAAGAAAGGGAAGCGGTTCTTTTGCAAGTTACTCTCCAGACAATTTTCTACGACGGTTATCACCTCAAGCCTATAAATAGGAGGAAGAGTTGTCAGAGAAGGAGGTCGCCAAATTCACACCAGACAACACAATGTCAAATTTTATCCCTTTATCCTTTCGTCTTCAGTTTTAGTCGTAGTCGTAGATCTGGAGCTCTCACTGAACCTCCATAGGAGTAGGAGTAAATTAATGTAGATCTGTCTCGAGAGTCGTGTAAACATCGAACACCCTCGTTCGAACTGTGTTTGAAGAGGTGTGAACCGTGTCTTAGTGATCGTTGTCCAAAGAAGTCAAGGTGCATTCAATTCGTTTCAACGCAAGTTTTCTCGCCGGAGAACAGGCGTACTATCGTTTGTGTCTTCTTCAAACTTGTGTAGACATTGTACAAAGTGTTAACCGCGGCTAGCCTCGTGAGAATGAGATCACATCATTTTTGTTCATAGACAAGATGTTTGTCAAGGGAGTTAATTAAGAGCACTTCTACTATGCTATATAGTATTGGTGCTTTAATGTACAACTTGAAGTTGTACCATAACATTAAATGTATAAGTTTAGGTTGTACCATAAAGGAATTTGTATCTTTCTGTTATGGTACAATTTTACAACTTGAAGTTGTACCATCACATAAGGTACAAGTTTAAGTTGTACCATAAAAGAATTTGTACAAAAAGTATAGGTACAATCTGAAGTTGTACCATAACATTAAAGGTACAATTTCAAGTTGTACCATAAAAGTAAAAACCTATAGCACCAATGCTATATAGCATTGTAAAATTCCTCGTTAATTAATTGATTAAGTTGGCGAAGAGATCATGGTGACTTGATTATTGGCAAAACCATTTGAAACATTACCCCCATAATGGGTGCCTATTGGCCTGTCTTTCAGATACATGTTTGATGAGCTTGAAGACAGGGTACAATTCTTTCCTTGGCTGTCTCTAGTCTCTTTGTTGTTGCAGGTTTCATCTCGTTCATCATAAGGGGATCATCCTGTCCCATTGGAAAGTGGGGGCTCGTCCATCTTCAGTTGGCGGTTTCTTTCAGTTATTCCCCATCTATGTGTTTGGTGCGGTTGCGACAGTGGAGTAGAAGAGATGGTTGTAGGTAGGGATGGTAATTTCGACCTGACCCGTTTTATCCGACCTGTTTGACCTTTTATGGGGCGGGTCCGAACCGCCCCGTAGGCGGGGCGGGGCGGGCATGGGTAGTCTCATCGACCCGACCTGCCTTGACCCGCCTCATTCTCGACCCGTTCTTGTCTAAATTACATGAAATCTTAGTCAAATTACTTTGAATTTTACTTTTATCGCATCATATTTTAGCTATAATAAAGTTTTAAATTAGTGAAAACCTCAATTTCTCCAATAATTTAACTACAATTGTCATAATATTATTTATTTTCTTAGTTTTGTAATAAAAATAACGAATATTTCTAATGTTTTTCAAATAAATTGCATGCCCATTGGGTCGACCTGTCCCGACCCGCGATCCGTGATCTATCCGCCCTGTCACGGAGCGGGTCTGGGTACCAAGAAACTCACCCCGAACCTGCCCATTGCCATTCCTAGTTGTAGGGTGGGGTGGGTTTGTTAGGGTTTGTTTGGGTCTTAACGTAAAGTTGGGCTTAGTCATGTTTGGCCTATTAGTTTTCCTTTGCTTGTCATGTATCTTGATGGGTTTTTTTATCCATTTTGTAAACCCACTTGAGCCTTTGATCACATCTAGATGGTGGTTAGGCTTTTGATATTCTTTTGTTGCTTCATTGAACATGACCCGAGAGAAAAGATAATATAACATCTAACATTTTAGACAGAATGTGAGTTGATTCCCTTTTGGTCCAAAACACAACGTTTTGAATTTTCTCAGTAGCTCCCCAATCTCCATTGACAGAATCAATTCAAGGTTGCCTTCCACATCTCAAATTCCTACTGGAGACCTTGAAGCTTCATTGTCATAAGTGTTCCCCAACAAATTAATTCCAAACCACACACACACAAAAAAAACTCATATTTGTATTTGTCAAATACCTTTTATCACCTTGTCGCCTGAAACCCATTTTTTCCCCCTATAAACTTTGTTGGCAAAACACATTACACATACATCACCTGCTGGCACACATAATTATATGCTATTAATTAAGATTAGAATAGTACATAACTATAATTGAAAGCCCACGATTCCAAGGTGGTACTTTCTCAGACATGCGACGTGGCAATGTCAGGCACACGTGGCAGACCTTTTTCCAACACATGTAATACTAATAACATCTAGATATGACCATGGATTGCAGCAAGCAGCTACCGCTGCTATTTTTCCTCATCTTTACCCAGAAAATCATCTTATTTACTAGTAGAACACTCCCCAGTGCAGGGCTTCTGGGGCTAGTGTCACAAAACTCGGAAACTATTAGGAAAGTAGTACAAATAGCATCATTTTTTTCCTGATGGGTGGATGCATGCTTCTTTCTCTGCATGCAGTTTCTTTCTGGTCTGGTCAGAAGAAATGAAGGATGCCCTTCTGGAAGGCATCCCTCTGGAGCAGAGAGGCAACAGAAGGACCTGATCCAGCACCACCATTGCTGATACTGCTGTTAGTGTTGTTATGATTTGTGGTAGAGGGGTTGTCGTGGTTCAGATGCATACCCATGAGAAAAGGCTGGTTTTGTTGATGATGCTGCAATTGCTGGATTGGGACGATCTTGGAATCTCCACCTCCACCATTGTTGCTGTTGTTTAGATGCATCCCCATCAGGAAAAGTTGTTGCTGCTGGTTTGGATTTGGAATGGCGTCCAATTCCTGCTCGTGCTGCTGGTTCTGGTTCTGGTTCTGGCTCTGCTGGTTGGTTATGGCCGAGAGCTGTGGGAATCATATCAACAATAAGGCAAGCAATTGTGATTGCATGCAACTGCAAGTTTCCAAAATTGAATGGTGGGTTTTCACTCTTTTGTTCTTTGTACCTCGTTTTCCATCAGCAGGCTTTCTGGAGGGAGAGGCATCTCCTGCAAGAGAGAGAGAGGAGAATCTTATTGGAGTTGGGACAAAAATGGGAAGGCATGGCACTTTTGAGGTATAACCATAGTGTTTACACCTAAAAATTAACTGACATAGATTCTCGTATGTTTAGTTTCACTTGTTTTGTTTGTTTCAGGCCAAAGGTATTTTCTAGAAAGAGCCATGCACTCGCAAAAGCTGATGCCTTTTGTAGTCCCTAAATCACAGTACAACAGTAAGTAGAAGTCTGAAACTTCCCTGTTTTATTCCCTGTGTCTTCATGTATGAACAAAAAACAAATCCAATAAAACAGTACTCGCAGAATTCATAATTACTTGGCCTTAACAGCAACTCCATTTTCCATATTGGTTGTTACTTCCATTCATTATCCTTATGACCATCATTCCTTAGGACTAGTGAAGAAAGCAAAAGAATTATGACCCAATTGCTCTTTCCCTTAATCAAAGGAACCTCTCTTTCATAACCCTCTCTCCCTTTCTTTTCTGTTTTCTTTCTTTCCAAGCAGATAGGTTCCAGTAGCTGCTGATTGAGAAAAAAATATCTGAACCTAGACAATGACTAGATATGGCAAGTATTTAGATTCAAACATTCTTACACCAAAAACTGGTATATGGGGTAGGCTCAGAATCCACAGCTACTAAGCAGGGGTGTTTCATTCTCTACAAATCTCAAATCCAGCCTTGTTTCTCTCATACGCATAGGTACTCACAGCTCTATGCTAGTCAGTCATACAAGATTCACATTCATCAACTCACCTGTCACTGTTCATAGCAATTTCTTCCTAATGCAAGAAATCAAAAGCTATGTTTATACTGTAATGGTTGTTGTTTCCTGGGTTTAGTCACCACAGAGAGACTAGGGAGAACACCAATGAGTTAAAAAAATTATGAAAACTAAGCGTGACAGGATATGTGTACCTGCTGCTGAAAGCTCGTAACAGCTTCAATCATCAGCTCTGTCTGCAGAAAGCCATCAAGATAATGTCAAATTTCTGCTTCAAATCATATTTGAACATATCTACAGGTAGAATAAACGAATATGATAACTGGAAGTCACAGAGTGGGTACAGTGAAGAGACGGATGCCTCTATTTCATTGTTATGAATTAGGATGAACCACTAGATGAAGAACATACTAGGAAATGTTGCAACTCCCCTCTAAAGTAGGGTGTCTTTGTTTTGGTCAGTTAAGAACTAGAACTTACTTGACTACAACATCAACATAGCTATAAAGCTCCTAGCTAGACCGAGTAATATAAGTATCATCTCTCTGAACCTATTCTAACACAAGCTCTGTAGAAGGCACAGTTGTGCTTGAAGACTGACCTTTCGAACTTGGGCCTCTCCGAGCAAGGACTGCAGGTTCCTCTCTAGTTGCATGACTTGTGCCGAATCCAGCTGCTCCACAGTCTTCGCTTCCACATGCCTGCAGAAATTTGCAGGTGAGGACTGTAAGTCTGTAGTTAAGTACAAGGAGAAGGCCTGTAGCTAGGTCTGGTATGTCTGTTACCTCTGAACACTCAGCAGCAAGTCCGGACCAGCATCCGGAGTCGTCCATGCAGGCAGCTGCTTCTGCAGGATTGGACAAAGTGAATAGTTTGAGAAACTTAGGAAGAAGAGTTATATGCATCGTAGATATTCCTACCATGTCATGATAGACCCAGAACAGTTAAGGAAATTAGGCCTATCTACGGTTTTTTCCTCACAAGAATCAGTCGAGGCTTTCGGCTTGTTTTTGGTATCCTGATAAACCTGATCTTCATGATTTTTCAGAGTAGCAGGAACGAGTTTCATAGTAAGCAGCAGTCAGTGAAGTGACCTATAAATAGTACAGCCAGGTAGAGAATATCTGATTCTCAGCAACTTTATTGTTCTACTAAGAGTTAAAATTTTGGAGTCATTACTCAGCTTATAGAAAGTAAATAAGAAAGCTAAATTCCTCCAACGATATTGAGAGAGAAAAATCCAGTCCACTATAGTTCAATCTCGGATAGAAAGAAAGAAAGATAACTGCAGCATGAATTTTATCAGAATGGCATCCCTCGGGTGTCTATGCCAAGAAAGAAAAAGGACCACCCCCTCCAAAGGATTCACCTTTTGTGCAGAAAAGGAATCCAGAGAGCCAAGCAGGAAAGCAGAGTGGCGCAAAGGCAGGATTTAGGGTGGAGGGCTAGAAATACAAAATAATTGAGCTGGGTCTTGGATGAGGAAGAGCTGACAGTCTACTATCCTGTCGATTTCCAATGTATATTTATTGTATGATTCACATTTTCTAACCTAACTAACGTCAAATATTAGGGATGCAATCTAACATGGGTCACATACATGTAGCTCCCACACTGGGTAAGCACCAAAGCAGGCATATGGTTCTTTTCTCGAGGACCATTGCTTCATAAGGGTTTTGTAGGTGACTTGGAATCTAATCTATCGTTGGGTAAAGCAAAAGGTAACCGAGCAACTTTAACCTACAAACCATAGAAACTCCCTTCCCTCTCTATTCGTCATCAGTGTCTCTCTTTCTGATATAATGGGATACATGTAATCCAGTATTTCACCAATTAGATATGCACTTGAAGAAGAAACTACAATTCATATAATCTGATAAATGTAATCCAGTATTCCACCAATTTGATATGCACTTGAAGAAGAAGCTACAATTTCAGTCATAACACTTTGAAAAAAATATCATCTACTTTTTCACATGAATCAAATAGGAAACATGAAAAGCTGGGCAGCGAGGAGATGAATAAAGTATGTCCTGAAGAAGCTATTTTTTAGCACCGTCTTGTTTGCCAGTTATGTGGCCAGTGTTGTTTGTTCTATCAATTCTGTCTCTATTTCCTTTTGATGGTTCTTTTTTCTTTCCTGTCTGATAGATTAAAAGCAGATTCCTGATGTTCCTAGGGGTGAGCTTCTGTAGCATGCTTTTAAGACTATGCCAAAAGACCCTGCAATGCAATTGACTAGAGACAAAGCTCCTCCCTAAACTTATCCATCTTTCCTATAGATTTTCCAGGCAGTTTATTTCCTCTCTTCTGACAGTTTAGTGAGTCGGGAATTTGAGGTATTAGGGTACCAGATGGATTTATTCTGTGGGTACTAAGATTACATGCAAGCTAAATACCTATATTCTCATGTCAATAACGATACAGTAGCTCACTCTCAGGGAGCTAAATGCACAAAAAATTCCCGTTTATAATTTTCTAGGACAACATGCTGCAACTTTCTAGCTGGAGATAAAGTTCAAGTGAGCAAACCAAGGTCTGTACTCTGTAGTGCTATATACGGGCCGGCCGAATACAACCGAGTATGACTAATCCAAAATTCAACTTGATGACAGCGATTATCATCTAGAACTAGGAGTTGAGCATTATCATCTACAACTAGGAGTTCAATACTGACTATCTGACAAGATAAAGGGGACTGGAAAGAAACCTCGGTCCCGCTTGTATGCTCATTAACTGCAGCGTCTGCATCTTTGTGAGCCTGGTAGCGTTGGATGACTCTCTCTAAACTGTATATCACATCAATCAATAGCTATAGTAAGGCTCCAAACGGTGCACTGGGCCAAAGATAGTGGAAAATTTCAGAAATGTAAGGAGATGCACTCAGACAGTAGATACAGAAGCAGATTAGCTGTTTCCTGTAAGAGTTCTGGTGACAGTTAGCGTCAGATTGAACGGGAGCTTATTGGCCTATAAGTCTGATAAGACATACTCTGTTGAGCTAGAAAGTTCTTATCAAAGCAGCATGCACACGATCCACAGCAAATGGAGCAAACATCCTCAACAGCTAAAATAAAGAGCTAAACAACAAAAGAAACATGCGCATCCTCCGCCAGATATGGTGCCAGAGAACTGTTAGCAAGAAAGCTGGCAAGCGTCAAGGAAAGGCCCGAAACTCATAATCTAACTTCTTGATGCAATTTCCAAAAGAGAGCAGATGAAAAAACGAACCAACAAATGCTCTGCAAGCATTTAACGTGGAGTCATTGCACCTGTTGGTATATTTGTTTGCTTATCTGAGAAATATATGGCATTTTGGTGCTACATGTTGCACGACGTCATTACCTCTTTCTTAGACCTTAAACACAGGGAACATAGCTGTTGTGGTACTGCCAATGCATTGTTATATACCTCTGACTCGCCTGCTTTCTTTGGATCGACCTAATGCTATCTTTTCAGTTGTGATGAAAATGGTTAGTGAAGCTCTTTCCAAAGTATGAGCTAGAGCTATCTAACTTGTACTGTATTGTGGTATCTAAGGTGACTTCGTTAATTTGTTGTTTTCTTGTTTAGTTATACGTACATGAGGCGTGGGATTAAGTGTATAGTCGTTTAAGGTGTAGTTCTTTCCTCAAAAGACTTGCAATGTAGTAGAAACCTGGTTTCTATCGGGTCTTTGGATATTTGGATTATTTTTTATGTTTAATGTTGTTTGGGCACTTTTGCAGGAATTTAGGGAGTTATTTGGTATCTCAGTAATAGGACTTAATTATGGTACTTCAAGGGAATTTGTTAGCTTATTAGGTCTAGATATTATGTAATTGTGGTTTGGGATTCATAAAGCAAATACAGATGAATAATTCACTTAATCCTAGTATTCTTCCTTCATATTCATAAGTTGGCCGAATTCTTCCTCCTCTTCTCCTCGTTCCCCTTTCTCTTGTTCCTTCTCAAATCCTCCCTAAGTCTATTTCTCTCAATCCCTTATTATCTCCTAATTTCTAATTCTCTATTACCTCTCAATTATCTATCCCTATCAGTGACCCTGTAGATCCGGGCTCTATCACAATGCTGGCTTGTTGTCATATACATTAAGGGGCTTAAGCGTTTGTTTCATTTGTCAAACACATGCATATCCCTTGGTATGCATCCAAGGGTAAGAGTGGCTTGCTAGTTGTGAAACACAAATCTCATAGGCAATATGGTACTAACCTTGTAATTAAGGGAGAGTTCCATACTAAGCTTACACTTAGAGAAGGTATTATGTGTCATGATCTAATCTTCTTGGCTTGCTTTTGAAGCCAGAGTTGGTGAAATGCTTGATTATGTGTCAATTAGACTTAATAGCTATACTTGTAAGTAAGGGTAGGGCTGGAAGTTTGATACCGGTATTTGTTATAATCGCGTATCGTATTTGTTTATATGTGGTATTATTGAATACACGTATTATTTTTTAGGATTGGGATTGGGATTGAAATTGAATTCCAAGTGTTATTCGGTATAGAGATTATGGGATTGTTATCGGTATATATCGGAGTACCGATCAATACCGAAATATAAGCTAGTGTGTATTTCATCCCTCTCAACTAGACTCTTTTCTTCACTACTACAAGACTCTCAACCACCACAAAAAATGTCATTTAATTATACATAGCTCATTTGCTCACTATTTAACATCTTATATCAAGTTTTTGTAGTATGTTTATGGATTGCTTAGTCTTCCCATGATTCAGTTTGTTGTTTTAGTTTGCTATGTGTTTGCACAACATTTTCCTAGAGTGTTGTTATTATAGTTGAGATTTTCCCCCTATTTGTTTGTACAAGTATTGACAATTTGACATCACACAATTTTTTGTTTTTATATTTTTTAGATGATTTGTGAAGCTAGTATTTGAGTTTCTATATTTGATTTGTAATTTTGAAAGAAAACATCGAACAAAATTTTAGGGATTGAGATTGGGATACCGATTTAATTATGAGATTGAGTTTAGGGCTCTATTTGGTATTCGATATTAGGATACCAATACTTTATCGATTTTCATCTCTAACTAAGAAAATTTTAGTGCTATGACAATTTTCAATGCTTGTATGGTATACCCTTACTTAACTATCCCTTCTGTTATATGCTCTTACAATTTATAGTAAGTGGTGTTAATCATGGTATTGAAGTGGAGCTACTTGTGATACTCTCCACGATTTTGGTACCACATAGTGTTTATGAAGTTTTCCAAAACTTGAGGTTGCGATGATTCATTTGGTGAAAGTAGTGTGAGTGACTTCTAGTGTAAGAGCCTAGTAATGGTGCTTACTCACTCCTTTAGATGAATATAGTAGGTGATTACGACATGCATAGCATGGATCAATCCTTTTGTTTTTTCAAAGAGACCCTCTTGCAGACTTAATTGAATAGCAATAATGTCCCTATGAAAATTTGTAGACAAGGGATCAAAGGTTTTCTCTTCATAGATGACCTTGTCTCTACACTAGATACACTCTCCAAGCCACAAGTCTTCTTATATGAGAAAAGTAGCCCTAATGAAAGTTAAGCTTCTACTATGACGTGATTATTAAATGACGCTTCTAACAAAATGTATATAGATAAGATTTTATGAGCGGTCACACGATAAAGCTTCAAAGTGGCGTTTTCCAAGGTAGTTTTATCCTACCTAGAGATGGGATAGAACAAGGCAAGGAGGAATAATTCCTATGGCTCTTTTGTAGGGTAATATACAATCTAGGGCTCGCCTGTAGTTGCTCGATGGCTCCTATACAGGAAAATGCAATCACAATTGTGAAACACCAGGCTATTTTTAGTTAGTGTTTATAAAATCATATAGTACAAGCATTTCAGCTTGAAACGTCCGTACTAGTTCAAGCAAGTAGATGGTTTTATCGATATGGAACAATTAAATATTGTCACCACTGACTTTTTTAGTAGGATTTTACAATCCTTGCTTTT